GCTCTGCGCCTCTTTTAACACGAACATCCATTACTGAGCGTTTTAGGTCAGACGATACGATTATCAAATCTATCATCGTCTTCTGTGCACAAGCTTCCCTGTACCAGGTGTGCTGATGCACTTTTCGATGCTCGAAGAAGGGGTTCATAATAGGCAGTCCGTAGTTTGCGAAAAAACGAAGCAACTTCATGACGTTATTTCTGAGATCGCTAGGATCTTGCTTTCAAATCATGACTTTTCAGTGTTAGCCCTAACATGCGTTTAAAACTTTCCATTAGAATGAGGGACTGCATAGTTGGCACTTCTTACAGAGCATGCTCAACTTCTTCAAGGATGGACTCATTTTCTCCCTCCGAATTTTTCGCATATACATGTCAAAGGTTTAGCCGGATGTAACTTCTGTCAGAGGATTGCTACTCTTCTTTGAACAGGCACCCATTCAACGATTCTATCAGCGAGGTTTCGTGTACTAGAACACCAACTTCAACCTGAGCGCGCATCATGATGTCGACAACTGAGTGGAATAACCATCAACAGGTAGAGGCTCAGAATTCCAAAGCCAGTGCTTTTGGTTGACGACAGGCCAACTGTGTCAAGTTAGTACTTTACGGCCAAATCAACTAGCTCCTGCTTTTTCTTCTATTCAGGATATGTTCCAGTTTTCGAATATAAGCTTCCACTGTCAATGTCGTTTCTGCGATGTCTAATCTTAATTGCCAATGCCTTTCGCTACATGCACCGTAGGATGATCAATGCTCGACAAAAACAGTTGCTTGAAGGCACTTATATCCAAAAAGTGAACACTGCCATAATTTCCCGATTTGCCAAGTTAAAATCTGTCTTTCAACTACTGATACCGGATTTAAAACCGTAAAGCAAAGCCATTTACTTTTCAAAAATATTGCGGATGTTAGTGTAAGACTAATGGTAGTCTCAACACTGGGTTATATTGTAACATTGCATCTCGCCCTCGTTTTTTCGCCTGTTTAAAATTTATCCTTCAAAACGTAGTCTGAAAAAACCAGAATCTTGATGTGATGTTTCTGCCTACCAAAAAGCACAGCTGCATTTTACTCATTTGTCTTCTTTTAGAAGACAATAATTAGCAAGGATATTGTTGTAGGAAATTAAACCGTTTGTTTGATCACGTGATTATTGAATTGAACTGTTGAACGTTCAATGTGGATGGAACGCACATATTTAAGTACCATTAATTCTCGAAATTGTTACAAGAGAGCACAGAAATCGTTCATCATTTGATGAAATGTTGAACAAATCATATTTTATTTACAACCGCAAGTGAAGTCAAAAACAACTAACAGAACATCAATGTTCTTTATTAGCCGATATGCTTTGCCAGTGCAATTTCCAGTCGCAGCTCAATGAACATGTATGAAATATTTAATGAAGAGCACTATGATAGAAAATATCTCAAAGATTGCGATGGTAATAGATGCAATTCTCTGCCCAGTGCTACGATAGCATATGTTCAATCTTGACACGATTGCATTTGATGATAAGTTAGTCTCAAAAAATCGACATAGCAATTTGTCTAAATGTAGATGCCCTTTTCTCCATTCACAGACTCATTCTTCCTAGATGAAGATTCCGTGAAAAACATTTTAGGCTTCTCATTTGAACGTTTCACGATGTTTAAATGTCCCGTGATCTAGTTCCATGGATTCCAGTCAGGCCTTTTATACTACTAAACGACTTGTCATCTCCAATCTGTGAGTAATTGTATTGTTGACTGTCCCTGGCTTATTAATGAACCATTGAAACTATGTCATCCTTTCAGGAGAATATTTATTACGTGTTTTAAAACACTGTCTATACTGTGATCGTTACTTACTCTACAAATCGGATTAGTTTAATCATACAGGAGATGTTCCTTGTTATTGATGGAACATTTTGCTTTGCTTCCTTCGGATCGTTACAACGTAGCAACAAGCACCCATAAAATAATGCAAGAGCACAGAATAGCGAGAAAATAGAGTGGCACTGAGGTAAACCCACATAGCAAGCACCGACGAAAAGAAGTGCAAACTCCTCACCAGAAGCGAGATGCAAAAATTGAGTCCAAGGAATCTCGTAACAGCCCACATGTTTAGGTAGCAAAGAAGCCGTACTCCATCAGGGCTTCTATTACGAACAGCTAGAAACCAGCCCTGTGCATGACCCGGTTTAGTTCAATATTTTCTGAAATTAAATTACAATTAAAAGCAAAAAAGTGCAAAAAAATACAAAATGGAAGGTATGCTGACGTCAAATAAAGAAAATGATATATTATACATGACGTCTACGAAATTTTAACTATCAGAAATATATATCGCATACATGTGCATACATATATAACTAAATATCTGTTTTGCTGAACAGGGGCATTCAAACTGAAAAATGCGACATGAAACTTTGGGTAGCGCTATTTTGTTCGATTTTTCATACTTTGACTATCAAAATGAGCTGAAAATATCATTTCCATTGCGTTTGAGAGTAACTCGATTCGTGCGCTGGCGGTCATACTGAAAAAAATAGCGTAAAACAAAGCTCATTTATACAACGCAAAAGATACGGCGGTCAGTGCACTGACTGATCAATTCCGACGTTACGGTCCGTGCCTTCCTCAAGGTAGGTTGGTGGCAAAGTTTCGTGAATATGGTTGGTCGTCCGAAGTAATTGACAGTTTCAGAGCCAAAGGGCAAGCCATCGGTCTCTGCTGCTGGTTAAATAATTTGCGAGCAACAGCGGCAACGAGG